GCTTGCTTTCTTTTCTGTCCTGAATCTTACAACGTTCAGCTTCATTGGAAGCCCATGAGTTCTAATGTTATGAGGGGGACAAAATAATAATAATTCTCTCTTCACTTCCTGCTTGCTGTGCATAATTCTGCACTCTTCTCTCTTATCTCCTCTTACTCATCTAAAAAGACATCCCTTGCTGCAACCTTTCCTTTCCTTTCCTTTCCTTTCCTTTCCTTTCCTTTCCTTTCCTTTCCTTTCCTTTCCTTTCCTTTCCTTTCCTTTCCTTTCCTTTCCTTCCCCTCCATCAAGCAGCACAATGTAGCAACAAGGGCACCCCCATGTTCTCTTCTTAAATCTTCAATTTAACAACTGAAAAATACAGGATACCTCTTTTCCAGATAACACTGTTTGTCTCAAATGCCCACCTCTAGACTAAACACCATCATGCATTCAGTCAGCAACACATACTGATCACAGCACTCTTGGAGGAGCTGCCCAGTGTGGAACATCAATGAACCAGGGAGCTTGACAGAACTCCATGGCAACCTCTTTGCGTACTTAAACCTGGAAAACCTGTGCTCCAAATTTAATTCCCCCAGGAGAATATTTTTCACTGCTAATTTCCACTAAGGAAGGAAAGGAGTTTCAAGACACAGTAAAGCACAGAACAAGAACTAAGAGCTGAAGCATCTTGAAGGTATGTAGCATAGGTTGAGGGTTTACTAGGGGTGGCTAACCTTGGTCAAATCAAGTCCCACATAGTTTTGCTACAATCCTTCTGGGTAAAAAAGGTAAAGGACCCCTGGACGGTTAAGTCCAGTCAAAGGCGACTATGGGGTGCGGCGCTCATCTCTGCTTTCAGGCCAAGGGAGCCGACGTTTGTCCACAGACAGCTTTCCAGGTCATGTGGCCAACATGACTAAACTGCTTCTGGTGCAACGGGACACCTTGACAAGTGCCAGAGCGCACGGAAATGCCGTTTACCTTCCCACCGCAGCAGTACCTATTTATCTACTTGCACCGGTGTGCTTTCAAACTGCTAGGTTGGCAGGAGCTGGAACAGAGCAATGGAAGCTCACCCCTTCGTATGTATTTGAACCACCAACCTTCCTATCAGCAAGCCCAAGAGGCTCAGTGGTTTAGACCACAGCACCACCTGTGTCCCTTGTGGATGCCACATATCAGCAGTGGGTGTGGTCAAAAAAGGGCATGGTCACCCCACACTTTTACGCACATGTGTGGACACCACACAAACACTACACAACTAACTGCAGGCAAGCAGACATACCCATGCAAGCACAAGCAGAGAGAAACAAATACAGATCACCCCCCTCCTGAACTTTACAAATAAACCCATTGCTTATCCATTCTCTCTTCCCTTCTTCCCTTTCTCTTCAATTGCAGGGATTTCTAAAATGACTTCCTGTTTCTTGGTGATCCATAATTTGCCATTGCGTGGACAGGCAGAGTCCCCAGATCCCGCGCGGTCCCCCCGTCATGTGGAATAACGACTCATGACAACGTGCTATGGGATTAAATTGGCCACAACTTTATTAAATTTCAAATGTGGGTAGACCTTGGCTCAGGCATTGGGCGTTCTCCCTCCCCAGTCCCCGGCTGGGGACCTAGGGAGCATCAGGGTTATCCAGTGGGGGGGGGGATGAGCCGGCTCTGGATAACATATCTTCAAGCAGAGATAGCCGCCCCGGTTACGCCGCCGCCGCAGGGGAGAGCAATGATGACCTTTCGGCGTACGGTCAAAGCCTCCCTTCAGAAACCCCTTTAACGGGGAACCCTGGTATCGCCGCCGCAAAGAGGAAGATGAACTAAAGGATTCCGCCCAAGGCTTGATACCGCCACCCGAGACCGCAAAGATTGCGGTCTCGCCGCCAAGACTACCTACATCTGAAAAGCCCCTTTGCCATCCTCCAACCAGTCAGTCAGGCCATGCCTGATGTCGCTCAGCCAACGCTCGTTACCAAGGTCTGATAGGTGCACGCCATCGGGCTGAAATAGCTCCTGCATGTAAACTTTAATGTTGGGGTGTTTCACGACCCAACCTCCCATGTGAGTGGTTGCAGAGCGCACTGCCCTATTGATTTTTTCCACAGTGTAATTAAGTCTAGTGGATTTGATGTTGCCCCGCCAATGCAAGCGTGGCAGAAGTTCGGACCAGAAAATAGTGATACTGGGGTGAGTGGCGTGTATGCTTTCCAGGTCTGCGATCGCTGTTTTGATCAGAATTATGCTTTTACGCACGACCAAGTCATTTTCGCCGAGGTGGAGCACAACCGTGTTTGGCGGGTGGCGGAACGCAAGTTCGTGACACAACCGAGGGAGCAGGGCATCCCACCGCATTCCATGTTGTCCGAACCAGGAAATGGAGATCTTTGGCTGCAGACCCAGATGTTCTCCGCCTGGACCAGTGGTGGCATGGATGGCCGCCCAATGCACTATGCTGTGGCCGAAGATCCACACATGTTTGGGGTTGAGCCTGAAAGAAAGGATTATATGGTATCTGTCAGTGTCTGCTGGTTGAATCTAATGTAGCCTTTGAAGGCAGCTGAACGCCACCGCCCCATTGCTTTTATGTGTTCTGCCGGGAGGCCGCTTGCAGCTGCCGTGGTTGCTGCACCGATACGAAAGGAATGCCCGGAAAATTGTGCCGGGTCGCCTCCACAAGCATGGATGGCCTTACGCAATATTGAGACAAATTGGCAACGGGTCATGGGGCGGCCTGATGCATGAATGAGGAGAGGGCCTGGTCCTGGAGGACGTACCTTCAGGAATTTGCGTGTGTCCGCGACAGGGCATGGTCCAGTGTGTGGGGAGGAGGCTAGACTTAGTGTGGAACCCCTACCTAGTTGATCGGTTTTGGAGGCTCGGATTTTGACTTGTAGCATGCGCCTGTCAAGGTTGATATCAGCCACAGACAAGCCCCTGCAATGAGGTGACAATGTGCCCCCAACGCACTCTCCGATACGGAGCGCACCAAAGAAGGCCAGGGAGAAGGCCGCCCTGAAGAGCCTAACCTCATAGTTGGACCAGCAAATACTGGGGAGCGCATCCCATATCAGCCGGAGGATCTCAATGGTTACTGGCCTCCTCTTATCTGGAATGGGCGGGTGGGAGCGACGCCACCCTGCAATAAGCTTCCTTACGTGGAAAGTGTTACAGGGGTCTGGGAGCCAAAAGCAGTTGCTGAAGTATGAGATAGTGGCCTTGTGCAGGCTGATGGTCTTAAGGGCCATGCCTCTACACTTTAGGTGAACCAAATATTTTAGAACATCATACTCCTTAGCTGCACGTCTGCGTCGTAAACCAAACTTATCTCTGAACCCCTCGAATTGGGACCATGCTCTGGTGTAGGATTGCAATGTTGATGGTGCAAGGGCGCTCAGTATTCCTGCTGTCACTTCTCTCGTCCAATTTCCCAGAGGTCCTCCGGAAAGGCTGCTGGGAGTTGATCGGCCTCGGGTGCTAGGTCACGAAAACGCTCCATCTGAAAGCGAGACAGGGCATCTGCAATGTCGTTATTGAGGCCCTGGATGAACCATGCGGAAAAGGAGATGTTACCTTTCAGACATTCCAGCATGAAGAGACGGAGCACGCGAATTACCCTGTTGGATTTTGCAGATTGCTTCGCAATGATTCTTACCACCGCCTGGTTGTCCAACCAGAAGCACACCCTGGTGTCCTTGAGGAGGTGCCCCCAAACCCGGAGAGCCACTAGGATTGGGAAGAACTCAAGAAAAGTTAAATCGCGTGTAATGCTCTCCGCGTGCCAAGATGTCGGCCAAGGCTGTGCACACCAGTGACCCCTGAAGTAGACACCGAAGCCAAAGCGACCAGAGGCGTCAGAGTGCACCTGTAGCTGTTCCTTAGACAGCAGCCAATCTTGCCAAAAGGACACCCCTTTGTAACTTTCCAGGAAGGTCAGCCATATTTTGAGGTCCTCCCTTATGGTGTGGGTGACCCTGATGTGGTGATGGGGGGCAACACCGCCAGCCGTGAGACGGGCTAGGCGTGCGCAAAAGGCGCGACCGGGCGAGATAACCCTGCATGCAAAATTGAGGTGTCCTAAGAGTGTCTGGACCTGACGCAACGTGGTCTTTTTCTGAGCCATCATGGTAGTTATCAATTCCCTCAACATGGCGAGTTTGGCCAGGGGCAGGTGAGAGGTTTGGCTGACAGAATCCAGTTCAATACCCAGATATGAGATGACAGTGGTTGGACCTTCGGTCTTGTCCGCTGCCAGCGGGATGCCCAGTTCAGCCGCCAGCTGAATGAAGCATGCCAGCGCCCTAGCGCATGTGTCTGAACCCGTTGGCTGGACCAAAAAGTAGTCATCTAGGTAATGGGAAATGCGGTGGGACCCCGACCTGCATTTCATGGCCCATTCCACGAATGTGCTGAAGGTTTCAAATGCAGCGCATGCGATGGAACAGCCCATGGGCATAGCTTTGTCAAAGTACCATTGGTCCTGGAATTTGAAACCTAGCAACCAGAAGTCCCTGGGGTGGACTGGTAACAAACGGAAAGCCAATTCGATGTCACATTTTGCCATGAGCGCGCCCGGGCCGCACTCCCTAACCAGCCTGATTGCCTGATCAAGAGATGCATATTTGACTGAGCATTGTTCTTGGGGAATGGCATCATTTACTGACCCACCCTTTGGGTAAGAAAGGTTATGTATTAAACGAAACTCGCCTGGGGCCTTCTTAGGTACGATACCTAGTGGAGACACTATGAGGGTGGGAAATGGAGGTTCTGTGAAGGGACCTGCCACTCGCCCCAGCAAGCGTTCTTTAGTGATCTTCTCGGCAATGTGTGGCATATCTCGGACAGACTTTTGGTTGGGGGGATTGGTGCATGAAGGGGTGCCTACCACTGGGATGCGGAAACCTTCCCTAAAGCCCTCCTCAATGTATTTTGCTGCCTCTTTATTGGGGTACTAGTGTAAAAAAGGCAGCATTGCTGATAGAGATATGGGTGAGGGGGCTAGGGAAAGGAGAGCACTATTTGTGGGCATTGTTTTTGCTTTGCTGTGTGCCAAATGAGCCTGTAGAGGCTCCGGCCTCTCTTTTGTCTTGAGATGTGCCTGCGCCTGATCTGCGGGAGCCTCGAAAAAACTTCCTCCCCCGAAAACATTTTGTGGTGGGGTGAGATCCACTACAGCGCTCGCATTCATGAGCAAATCGGCATTTTTCTCTGAAGCAGGAACTGTTATTATACTCCCAGCAAGATCTCTTGGGGGCCTTGGATTGGTATTTGGACTGTTTCACATTGTCGGACCCTTTCTTGAAGAATGGGGCAACCAACTCAGACCACACGTCATCATCTTTGATATCCCATCTAGCTGTGTCGTCCCCTGCCGCCCGCTCCCTGAATGCCTGGTCATAGGCAAGTGCCGCCTCCCCCCCAGACATGGCTTCAGCCTTTAGGATGATAAGTAGGTAGTTGGTCAGGTGCCAACCCCTGTCAGGGTAACTAACGACTATAATACCCATGTAAGTGGTGAATGCAGTGAGCCAATTACAAAAGGTACGCTCAACACTCACTTTTTTATCTTTTTTCCTCTGCTCGGCGGATTTAGATTTTAGGCATGTCGAAGAGGCAGGGGATAGCAGATCAAACAAATCCACAAACTCCCCATTAAGGATGCGTTCCCGTAACTTCTCGCGCAGGCGAAGGCCTGGGGGCTGGTCGGTTCTTTTGAAGTTGGATTTCCTAATGCTACCTCTGGAGTCAATGCCATCCTCACCGCACAGCGCGATAGCACCATGTTCACGCCTATGCCTCCGGTTGCGGCGGCGCCAGACCCAGTGCGGCAGCCCTGGGGCGTGGGGGCCTGTAACCCAATAGCCTCTGATGCTCCCCCCCCCCGTTCACTATCAGTGGAGCTGGACCTACCTGAGGAACTAGATGATCCCGAAGGGTCCCTCTTGGACTTGTGGCGCCTCCTCCTGGATTTGCGGTGTTTCCTCCCGTGATGACGCGATCTGTGCGACTCAGGGCTCTTGTCACTCTTGTAACTGTCAGAGGAGCTGGAATGGGGGGACCTACCTCTGCGCCTGGTGGATGCAGATGATGAGTGTGATCCACCTTCCTGAGCACGGCGGTCAGCGGAGCTGCTACTGCACCCTCGCCTGCGGCTGTGAGGTGACCCAGAGTGCCCTCTGCGCGAATCCTGCCTCAGCCGGGCAATGGTCCTATCCCTACTGTCTCCGCGCACTGAGTGCGAGGGACTGCTACTAAGGGAGGAGCGGGTAGAGGAGGAGCTCTCTGTACATCTCGGCTTGGCAGCCGACCCCTTGCCGGCGCGGCTTGCCAAGGCTAGTGGGCTTATGGACCCAGAAGACCCTCTAGGTGCCGCTGCCCTCTTGGGCGTGGTCTTCTTGGGCTTGGGCTGCTCCTCCCTGGTCGCACGCACCTCCCGCTGTCCAGTGGCCTGTCTCTGGGCAGGCTTGGTGGGCTTGCCCCTTACAGTGCCCCTTCTGGTGCGGGGAGGAGAAGCAGCCTGATGCTTTGGTGGCATGGTGTGGGGCTAATAGAGTAGGGTATGCTAGGGAATCCGTAAAACAAGGGGGGGCAATGATTGGTAGGAAATGCCCGCTATCAATTTGCAAACACACACTAGTGATAAAGGTAAGGTTACGAATAATGGGAGGGGAGGAGATAAGGCAAGAACTGAGTCGCAGCAGGAATCGCTACTGAAGGCTGCAAAATAAAACAAGCAATAGTTTAGAAAATCACTGCACAGATTTCAGTTGAGGTCCATGGGCAGTCTCCCCTCGTCGATAATGAGCGCGATGCCTGCTGTCCGCTGCACCTGCTGGCAAGCCATGATGGTGAGATGTAAAACCAATACGTACCTAATGAGGCCATAGGTGTGCCTGAGGACCACCGAGGCATGACTGCCCATGTGGTCAGATCCAGGGTGGCCGCCGCCATGTGGCCACCAGCGCAATGGCTGCCGCCATGCGGTCGCCATTGAAATGGCTGCAGACATGGAGCCACCACCAAGCAGGCCCGGCACGCCTCCAACAGGGACCAGTCCTACAGCACCTTGGCAGGGCCCCGTGATGCGGCACCACCCCCCCCACCACACAGTTTAAGGGGGTGGGGTGCAAGCAGAGGCCCACACTGTCCCCCGGGGCCATCTCAGGGGGGGCGGGTATGCCCGCCGGCTGCAGGGGTCCCCCCCGCCGCCCAGGGGAGGCTCCAGGGTCGCCAGAGGCCTGGTGTAGGCCGTGCGAGGCGGCAGAGCCTCCCTGCGGCCTTAAAAGGCCGGCCAAAGCTGGGGGAGGCAGCACACGGAACGTGGGGGCGGCAGGAAGGCCCCCACCACCCAGGAGAGGCTCCAGGGCCGCCGGAGGCCCGATTAGGCCACAGAGCCTCCCCGAGGCTCAGCTAGGCCTCCAGAGCCGGGAGAAGCCGCGCGGCGCGGCCCACGGCCCCCCGGCAATCGCAGGAGCGGCGGGAAGGCCCCCACCACCCAGGGGTGGCTCCGGGGCCACCGGAGGCCCGATTAGGCCACGGAGCCTCCCGAGGCCCAGCCAGGCCTCCCTGAGGCCTAGCTAGGCCTCCGGAGCCAGGGGAGGCCGCACGGCGCGGCCCGCGGCCCCCCCGGCGATCGTGGGGGCAGCAGGAAGGCCCCCACCGCCCAGGGGAGGCTCCAGGGCCGCAGGAGGCCTGATTAGGCTGCGGAACGCGGCGGAGCCCCCCCCCCGAGGCCCAGTAAGGCCTTCCAAAACGCGGCGGGTCTCCCTGCAGCCTAAAAAGGCCGCCTGGAGGCCTCCGAGGCCCCGGGGGGTGACCGGGACCCCCCCCGCCACCACCCACCACACCCCAGGGCCGCCAGGCCTGGCGGGGGAAGGGAAGGGCCGCGTGTGGCGTTGCCTCCCCCCGCGGCCCACACTCTCCCGCAGGCATGGGGGGCAGCCAGAGGGGCCCCCGTGCCATCACCCAAAACCCTGGGGCATCAGGGCCCGCCTAGGGAAAAGGATCCCCTTTTAAAAGGGGATCCTGAAATCCATTACCCCCCCTGCTATCCTTTGGGAACCCTGTCGTGGGGGGGGAGGCCAAAGGCCCCAGGCTTACCTTTTGGAGCGAGGAAGTCCAGCAACGTCCTTCCTGAAGAAGCTCTGGAGCCAAGTGAGGATTCCCAGGTAAGATCCTCCCTCTATTGTGTGGGCAGGTAATCCCTCCCCTACCTGGCCTGGTCTCCTTGGCAACGCTTCCCCCAGGTGGGATTGGACAACTGACTGAGGTAGGCGGAGACCTCCAGTTATCCCACCTGAGGGAAGGCAAACCAAGCCTATGCTGTTGGAGCCGCTCCAAATCTAGGGGCTGTGCGCGTCCACGCAAAGGGCGCCCCCCGTTTTAAGCAGGGAGCGGTCATTACCTTAGTGACACTTTGGTTGCACAAACCATAGGTTGCCCAGACACCAGAATCTGGAAGCACAGAGTGTGAACGCCTCCAGGTTCCTTCAGAACAGTGGTACTTATCAATTTGGCTCTTAAGACAGGGGTAGCCAATGTGGTACCCTGCAGATGCTTTTGGATTTCAGTTCCCTTCAGCCTCAGCTAGCACAGCCAGTGGTCAGGGTACAATAACATCTGCAGGGTTCCACATTGGCGACGCCATCATAAGGACTCTCTTTTAGCTTGCATTTCTGCCTGATCACTGAAGTCTTCAGGAGACTCGCTATTGCTCAGACCTATGGCTTGCATCAAGCTGGATGTTGTTTGCATCCATCTGTCGAGGGGGGGGGGAGAGCATCTGGGTGGAGGCCCAGATGACAAGACCCTTCCTGGCCTCACTGTTGTGGTCAAAAGGAAAGCAGAGCAATACATTTGGCACCAGCTGGCTGCAGAAGTTGCTGGAAGGTTCCACCCAACTGTTTTAGGAAATCCAGATTTTTGTAGGGTTTACTCCTTAGCCTTTTCTCTCCTGAAAGGTATCTTGCAAGGCATCTGCAACCATGCATTCGGCATTGTAGGACTGATTGTTTGGATCTCCCTCCTGGCTGATATCAGATAAGCCCCATCTCTGCTGAATTTCTGGTGCTTGGATGAGACATCTTTTTGTTTCAGCTGCCATTTCAAATACGTTTTTTTCTGATTTCATGGTTAATTCTACCTGATTTTATTATGCATGCTGTACCCCTATTAGACACTGCTTAGAAATGAAGGTAATTATATACCACATTGCTCTGAATATAGGCCATACTTTTCTCCCTTTTATAAAACCAGAGTGCAGCCTATACTCAGATTCTTATGGATGGAGAAGCCGTCATTTAAGAGATCTCATTTTAGGGGCACAGACTACATTTGGGTTCAGCTGGTATTCAGACCAATAGAGTAAATTATTAAGATAAATGCTTTAGAAAAACAATGTAGATGAATTTATAATAGTCACTCATGTTTTCACCTGTATGGAAGATAAATCATCCCCAAGTGGCCACACAGTTAGGTTTTAAACAAGTAAAAGGGGGTGGGAATGCCTGGGGGTGGGGGCAGGGGGTTGTGGCCTATATTTAGAGCAATATCTACTGAGCCACACTTAGGGATATACTGTTTTATTTTTCATTGTGCTTTGTATCCTGAGCATGTATATTTTTACACCACAAACATATTTATATACTGAGTGGCATAGAAGTTCTGAACAAATAAACACTGTTTGCTGGAACTCAGTAGCACATTTTGGATGGGAAACTGCATTTCCTCAGAATATGATGTCATCCAGATAATATCAGCTGCCTTTTTCCTTTTAAATTTTACACTCTGGTTTAATTTCCCTGCTGTGTAGATTGCTGGTAATGGCAGGATCGTCCATGTTTAATTAATGGTGTGTGTTGCCGTGTTTCTTTCTTTACAATCCTCTTCCTGTTTAAGAGACAAATTTTGGGACTGTGATTTCACAGCACTTGTGCCCCTTTTTTTGTTTTTTTAGCAAGATGCTCATGTCTTATTTGCTTGGTGTATAGATGCATGCCACTTTTGTGTGATCCAAACAGGTTACTGTAAGGTCTGTTGACTGGATCAATAAAGTGGTCTGTTGCTTTAAATCAGGGATGAGGAACTGTACGCCCAGGAACCAAACGCATCCCTTCTGGCTCTTTAATCAACCCTCAGAACTCTCACCAGCCCACACCCCCTGGCCTTGCATGGCTGGACTGCATCCTTGAATGCTGATAATCCTTCTTGATGGAGGATGCAGAGGAAGGTGTGCGTATGTGCAGAAACTAGTCTGCTGTACAAAGATAAAATCAGTATTTGTGCTCCACCCAGTTTTGCCTTTGGACCCACCCACAACTACTGGCATTTGGCCCTTGGAAACTTGCCCAAAGGGAAGTGCAGCCCTTTGGCCAGAGAAGATTCCTCACTCCTGCCTTAAATTGAAAAACAGTAGACAAAGTTGACAGAAAGGCAAAACAGGCAGTTTCCTGAGCTACATGGATTGCTGGGAAGTAGATCCTACCAGTGAAGTAATACAGATGTCTGTCCAAAGGTTTAAGGAGAGAGAGAGGGAGAGAAGGGGGGGAGAGAGAGGGAGAAATTTGGAGATAAGGAATTAAAAAGAGAGGCCTCCCCCACTTCACACAAACGTAATGTGAGCCCGAGTGTCTCTTGTTTTCAGGGTTCTATTCAGTACCGCTTATTGTTGTGCTGCGTAATTCTGGTGGACAATGATAAAAATAAAAACTTAACTGAAAGAACTTGATTTGTTAAAATAGTAGCATTTTTTATTAGTATGATAGTCAACAATTGCTTCCCACTCTCTTTTCAGTTCACTAACCAGCTTGGTAAAATAAGAATAATCATCCAAATGGAGAAATATCGTAACTTCTCTCAGAATTATTATTTTTTGTTCTCAAAGACAGATTTGTCCAAACCAGAATAAGCCTAGGTTAGGGGTAGCAGTTGGCATTGTCTTCTCCAGGTGGTTTTGGGTTACAGTTGCCATTGGCCCCAGCCAACATGGTCAGTGTTTTGGGATGATGAGAGTTGTAGTCCAACAACATCTGGAAGGAACCACATGGGTTACCCCTGCTCTGGGCTCTATGACACTTTCATTCATTGGTACAGGATCTTAGTAGGTACTAGTAATGCAACTTGTACATCCTGGTTTAACATGTTCAAATACTACAAGATTATCTTGGTCAAATTGCTTGCTACCCATTCAGAGTAACTCTTACCTTACTGAGGTTTAATCCGGTGACAACATTTGTTTTGGATGTCTGATTAGTCAGTGCTCCATTTCAGGGTTTACTGATGAAGTGCCATCCAAATGTTGAACTCCAGCCCCCATGATTCCTGACTATTGGCTTTGCTGGCTGGGGCTGATGGGAATTAGAGTCCAGCAACCCTGGAGGGCACCACATTGGGTACCCCTGTTTCATATTTATGTTTTTTTGTGGAGCAGAAGAACTGGGGACCTTAGAGGTTATCTTTTCAAATGTCCCATTCATGTATCAGTCAAAAACAAAACGCTCTCCCAGCCACAATTAAGCAAGGAATTTTGGTTGATCTTCAAAATCAACTGTTTTTTTAGCTAACAAATAGCAAGAAGTATGACTCTTACACTTTTGTATTATTGCATGTTTCTTTGATGAGGCAATTGATTGGTTGTCAGTTGCTGCCAAGATTGCTGTAATGATAACTACATTTGAGTTACATTTGAGTTTTGTTTTGTTTTCCTTTGTTTTCATCATGGCCTCTGGTAAGGTTGCCATATTTCAAAAGGTAAAAATCCAGTCACAGAAATTGTTGAGCCTTTTTTTGGCAAAGTTGTTGGTTTTTGTTGTTGTTGTTGTTGTTGTTGTTGTTGTTGTTGTTGTTGTTGTTTGGCAAAATCTATGTTTAAAAGGGACGTTTTTCAGCTACGTTTAAGGAAATTCACCAAAATTGATTTTCCCAGACATTTCTACGATTTCCGCCCGGACACAGCTTTTGACTATATGCTGCCTTTCCACAGTTCACACAATGCTCAAGGTGGCTTATAACATGAACAAAATGCATTACTTCAACATAACAAAAGCAGTCATAAACAATAAATAAAGCATTAAAAAATACAAAATCAAACAGAACAATTTCCACATAAAGCACAACAAAATATAAAATCGATGGAAAATACCATCAGCAACAGCAGCAACAGCCTCCCATCTGCCAATAAAAGGAAAACACCAAACAACACGATGAGCAATGGTTATTTTACTCACTATAGTAATTGAGGCTGAAAGGTTATAAATGACATTGTAGTTATTTTAGCATCCTTGGCATTTCATTGTACTGATGTAGAACCATGAATCAGGCTGAGTCACAACACTAAACCAAGACAAAGGGCCGTTGCACTATTTTGCTTTGATAAGTCAACCCCAGAATCAAGAAACTGGTGTGTCATAATATGGACTGCCCATCCTCCCCAAATACAAGGTCTTTCTGCACTTACCATTAATAGTGAGAGTTATCACAGGATGCGGGCAGACAGTCCGGTGGGGTCAAGAGGAGGAGTTTGAGAGATTTTTAGTGCCAGCGGAGTTCGCAGAGAGCGGGGGGTGGGTTGCACTGCGTGGGCCTGCTATGGTGGAGTCTCAGGTTTTGCACGGGTGGGTGGGTGGGTTGGAGAGTGAGAGGGGGGGTTACATGGCCCTGGTGAAGAATGGAGGGAGGAGGAGAGTTTTTGCATAGGCAGAGGTTGGGGGCGGTTGGAGATGGCAACTCAAAGTCATTGTAATGGATTGCTTTAAAAGTAAGCCCCCCAATTCCCACCAACCTGTTCCATATTTTGCCCAATGAAATGTAGTGTCTAACTAGATACCTGGCAGGGAGGTTTAGATTCTGCTAGAACTTCCTAACATGCAAGTAGAGTTGGCAGGCCAAGGGAAGAGATTGGTCTTTTGGCTGCTGATGTCACAGCAGCCTTTAAACTGGCACCGAGAGAACCTTTTTCTTATGGCCTCACAAACTGCAAGCAGTTTGTGGAGAGGAAGTCTCTTCCTCTTGAAAGGGTACAGCAGATTTTCCCCCAACATAGATGGTTACCTTCCTGTCCTCTTCAGTTTCTGGATGTCAGTTCAGGAGGAGGAGCTGAGCACATCCTTCAACTTGCAGACATCAAGAGATGGGCTCCCATTTGCAGAAAGGTCCATTGATCTACTCTTACCACTAACCTCTTGCTTTAAAAAAAAGCTCTGTTGAAGAGGCACACTTAGAAATGCCATAGCTCCCTGTTCAGTTTAATTAAAGTGTCTTTGTTTGGTTTTAATTGCTGTGTTATATTTAACGGGGGGGGGGCGAGGGGTGGAGATGTTCTGCGGTTAATATACTGAAATGCTTATTCTTACTGAAATTAATTCTCTTCCAACTGTACTATCTCAGCAGGCTATTTTTGAAAGCCAGGTAAACAAGCCTGGGACAGAACTGCATATATTATCAGCCTGTGTGACTTGGCTCTTCAAGTGTAACATTTCAAATTAGCTGCCCCCTAAAATCTGTTCCTTCTCTTCCCCCCCCCTCCCCAATTTCCCTTCGGAATACAGTATCACTTATTTGAGTTCTCCCACAGGTGCATGTTAGCAGCAGGTGGTGCAGTAGGAAAGACACACAACATAGAGAGAGAAACCTTAGTGAGAGAAATCAGGCCACAACATTACTGATAGAGAGGAGGCAAGCAGGGTTGGCACAGCAATCATGCAACGATTCCAACCAATTCCATTTTGGGCCCTTGCTGCTGGAATGGTATTACACTTGATGGGAGACACCCAGCTCTCTGGGGGAATTGGCCAGTGTTGAATTCTGGTGTGGCACAGTCCAAAGATCCAGGGTTTCTGCTGGGCAATCAGTCAAGCAGAGGGCCTTCTTGGTGGCTGCTCCCCAAACTCCCTCCCTTAGAGAAGCTAGACTGGCTCCCTCCTTGTTGTCCTTCCACCAGCCTCCCTCCCTCCTTGTTGTTATTCTGCCCAGCTTTACAGAATTGACTGTTCTGTTAAGGAAATTACTTTTAAGGGGTGCTGTGCTCTTTTTAATATCTGTGTTTTAGCATTCAGGTAGGTAGTCGTGTTGGTCTGACGCAGTCGAAATAAATTGTCCAGTAGCACCTTAGAGACCAACTAAGTTTGTTCTGGGTAAAGCTTTCGTGTGCATGCATAATAGAGATGGGGCAGGGGTGGACATTGGGGTCTCAAATCAGTGGTGCCCTGTGCAACACCAAAATTTGGTCTCCCGCCTCTCTCACTCCATTCTGTATAATAGTTGTGGCATCTGCTACAGCACCCCTGTCTCATCACCCACTGGTCACACTCCCCTAAATCCACATTTGGATGGGGGGGGGATTCTATTCAGTCCACATTTAAAGATGAGGCTATCTATTTACACATGAACCCAAACACATTGTTGAATTTTGCGATTCATTTTCCCCAGAGAAATAATGTGTACAAATCAGGCATATATTGGGGTAAAGTGTGCATAAACATTTTAGCTTACAAAACTGGATGCCGAATTTGAGAATGTTGTGTTGGCAAAGTTGCATTTGAAAATGTGTGTATTAGGAGAAATCTGAACAAAAATGATGAATTCTCATGAGGAGAAGTGAGATGTGATATGAAGAAGAATTTATTAATACGGTCACAGACCAGCGCCAACACACACAACATCACAGATCATAAAAAATATATATAAAAAATACAAAGGGCAATATAAGTATAACAAGCATTTAAATATAAAAAATTAAAATTAGTTATTATTAATTAAAAAATTAAAATTAATTATTATTAATTAAAAAATTAAAATTAATTATTATTAATTAAAAAATTAAAATTAATTATTAGCATGCCCCCTGCTATCAACACTTGGGGGTTTGGTCACCATGGGATACCACTTGCTTCCTGCGACTAATTGCAGCCGCACAGAATTTGGCTACATTTAATGTAGTCTTGGGATTCTTGTCCTCTAGCAGCGGTTCCAAACCATGGTGTTCCGACTCCTTCCCGGACTTCCACAAAACAGGAGCAATAAAAGTCGAACGTATGTCCTCATAAAAACGACAACACAACAGTACATGTGCAGCAGTCTCAACCTCCAATGAGCCACAGGGGCAGACCCGCGCTGCGTATGGTTTACCCTCAAATCTGCCCTGAAGTAAGGCAGAAGGGAGAACGTTGAATCTGGCGAGGGTAAAAGACCGTCTGTATTTAGGTACCTGGAGACCTGACAGATAGTTAGCTGGAGAAAAACCTCTCCCATAGTCCCTTATTGCAGGATGTTTGATCATTTCACTCATGTGGCATTGTAATTCTACATCCCAGATACGCTGGCGAATTGTGGTCCTAGCTTTCTCGAAGCCTGTGGCTATCAGGGTCTGCTGTGGGATCCCCAAGCCTTTAAGCTTTTCCAGCAGTGTAGCCTTCCATCTGGATTGGTAGGTATCCAATAAGGTCAAAGGTGCCAGCCCAACCGGGAAGAAAATAAGCTTTAGCCAGTAATGGATCTTCAATATCCATATCCGGGTACTGATCGGAATTTGCCCAACCTCCAAACGGACTGCTATGTTGGATACGCAAGAGGGGATCCCCAGCAGGCAGCGGAAAAACTTAGTTTGAAATGCCTCTAGGAGAGTAAGGTTTTTAAAACTGCAGATCTGGGATCCATATAACAATTGTGGTAGTATTTTGGCAGCAAAGACCTGGGAGGCTGCCGGTATGTACTGGCCTCCTTTCCCATAGAAGAATCTTATTAACGCTTTGGTAGATCTTTCTGCATTTGCAATAGTATTATTAATCTGAAAGCGCCAGGAGCCCCTTTCCTGGAAGGTTACACCCAGGTATTTAAAGGTTGCTACCTGTTCTATTAAGCGGTTGTCTATTCTCCATTTGTGCCTCCTCCTTTTTTTGGAGAACACCATAACTTTGGATTTGTTGTAGTTAATTGTTAATTGTTCGATGCTGCAGTATTTGGTGAAAGATCTCAAAAGTTTTCTTAATCCAACACAAGAAAAAGAAATTAGAACTGTGTCATCCGCATATAAAAGGACCGGGAGGGCGTACCAGCCAATTTGGGGGGATGGGCATTTTCTTTCTCCATATTTCCTACTAGCGAGTTGATATAGAAGTTAAATAAAGTAGGCGCAAGGACACACCCTTGCCTGACCCCCTGATGGATTTGGATTTCCTTGGATAGGTGGCCCTGTCGGTCACACCTTACCCGAATCCGTGTATTTTCATATAGACTGTGGATGAGATACAGTAGGCGTTTGTTTATATTTGCGGCGCTTAGCTTTCCCCAGAGCCTGTCCCTCGGTATTAAATCAAAAGCAGATTTGAAATCTATAAAGGCCACGTATAGGGAACCTCCTTTTCTTGATGTATATTTCTCCGCAAGATGTTGGAGAACAAGGCCCTGGTCTAAGGTTGACCGATTTGCCCTAAAACCAGCCTGTGCTTCTGAAAGAATGTGGTCTTGTTCCAACCAGTCCACTAATTTGCCGCATAGGTGGGCAGCGTACAATTTGCTAATGATACTTAGGAGGCTAATTGGCCTGTAATTAGCCGGGTCTGATCGGCTCCCTTTCTTGAATAAAGGGATGATGATTGCTAATCCCCAATCCTCAGGGATAGTGGCCGATTGGTCTATGCTGGTAAATAGGGCAGCTAGCACAGGGGCCCACCATTCAACATTAGCCTTAAGGAGTTCCGGTGTAATGTTGTCTACGCCGGGTGCTTTTCCAGGTTTAAGGGATTGGATGAGCCTATAGATCTCTTCAGTTGCTACTGAGGGCCATTCGGCGCCAATATCACTCGGAGCTGGGGGCAGGGCCTGCAGATGTTGATTTGATGTATATAAAGATAGAAAGTAAGCCTCCCAAATCCCAACTGGTATAGTATAATCAATTTCAATCGGGAGTCTTGCCAACTTTTCGCGACTATTTTCCAAAAGGTGGCTGAGTCTTTCCTTCGAGAGGCCTCTAATAAACGTTGCCACTCCTCCCTTTGGGCCTGAAGCTTTTTCTTTTTAATCAGATCTTTATATTTACGTTTGGCTTCGAACCATTCCGCGGGAAGCAAGGGTAAGTTCGCTGATTTGTAATTCCTGTACTTATCCAGCAAAGAACGCTTTGTAGCAATACATTCCTGATCAAACCAGGGTTTGGATTTGTTGGGGAATATAGGTTGGCGCGATGTCTTTTTTGAATCAGATGGGGTTGCAAAAGTGAGATCAGCTCCTGGAACAAGATTATTCTAGATTCAGAACATGGTGGGTTTAAGAGATTATCTCTTCTCATGAGGAATGTGTCCGAGTATAGCCTTTCAGATGTTTCGGCATTCAGCTTTTCGGACCATCTAATACGTGAGTATCTCAACTCCATGTTGGAGGACCTGGGGGCTTCAAGTTTATCATTGCAAAATAAGTCTTTTCTTGCATCCAGGAGGAGGCAGAGCGGTAAATGATCACTATCAACCCTCTCCTCCACTTTGCACTCAAGGGCTCTATTTAGGAGATTAAATGATACCATAACATAGTCGATAGTGGAAGCTCCTGCATTTGATATAAAAGTAAATTCCCCACAGGTCTCCCCATTCTTGCGCCCATTTAGTATGACCAGGTCCAGCTTGTTAGAAAGCCGCAATAGGCACAAACCTGCATAATTACATCCCTTGTCTTTTGAGAGTCTGGTGGGTATAAGGTGGTTTTCTTCCACAATAGGTGGCGAGTCGTGGAAGTGTGCATATAGTGCTTCGTCAGACTGGCCAATTCTGGCATTAAGATCACCAGCCACTAGCACTGAAGCTGGGGGGTTTGAGTCATCAAACCATCAATGTATGTTTCCAGCCCATGCCAGGTGTTTTTAATCAGCTGCTTGCCTCTTTGGGGGGGAAGATATACATTAATCAGTAGCAGGGTGAAGAATCTACTTTTCACTAGTAAGGCCATAGCCAGGTGTTTCAGTGTCTCTAGCTTTACTAAGGACGCCCTCAACCTTGTAGATATTAAAATGCCTAGGCCACCCTTGACTCTCCCCCCTTTAGTGCTTGGGGAACCTGTGAGGGACATTGAGGAAAAGCCGTTAACTTCTAGGTCTCCTGTGAGCCATGTCTCCTGTAAAAATACTATGTCGTAGCCTTGGATAAATTTAACAAAGGATGGGTCAGCTGCCTTTTTTTGCCATCCTGCGATATTCCATGATAAAAAGCTAAGGTTGGCTTTACCAAAATCCACTCCTTGTCAATTATCTTCCAAGGTACTGTTAGAGTTTCCCATTCTACGTGGCAGCCGTCTGTCATCCTTGCATGGAGAGCTGCCCAGGAGTTCTATGGTGTCAGATGGTAAATGTAAAGTGCTCACATTGGTAGACACTGGGCCTTTGCTGTACAAGGCCTCCTCCTGGGGGTATTCTACCTGGTTGTAGCCTAATTCCGCTTCATCTAAGTATCTCATTTTGGACCAAAAGCCTGGTGAGGTTTCCTTGGGCATGTTTTTCCTTATAGGGAGCGATGCATTGTTCTCCTTTGTAAGTTGTACTTTCTTGATTGCAGGTAGATTAATCTCTGCCTTTATCTGAAGGTTACGTGGTCGACGAGCCGCTGAATCGGGTTCTTGTGAGATGATTATTTTGGAAGGGCTCTTGCTCTTACTTTGGACGTCCACCTTAGTTTCCTTATGTAAGTCTTTCCCAGCCAGCTTGTTTCTTAGCGTTTCCAATCTTTCTAGTATTTCAGCTTGTATTAAAGGTGGGAATGCCCAGAATTGGCTAATTAAGGTATTTTCTTCAAAGGAGAAGTTGTGTGTAGGGGTGCCCAGTTCGTGAGGCGACTGGTGGTTATTCTGATATTCAGCTTTATTGTTTTCCACCACCTTTGAATAGATGTCTTTCTTATTTAATTTGATGAGATGCGAGGGGGCCGGGCACTTCGAATAGGCGAGTCACTGTCAGGCCTACCCTGTGCAACTTTTCCTTATTAATTAATATTTGTTTTGCGGTCGAGTCATCTTTAAATGTCAGCATCACTCGATTATACTTATTGTCATTTGGGAGAAAATCTGCATTGATAACGTTCCCTTGTAATAGGAGGCCTCTGAGTACTAAGTCAATTTTTTTAAATATATACGTTCTTTGTTGGTCCAGTGAATGTAATTCTGTACGGTTGTACATAGGGCAAATAACCAATCTGCTTCTGTTGAGGATCAGCGTTTGGTTGTTCTGAGTTATCTTGTTGCGAATGGGGGTGTTAGTCACCACAGTAGCAGAGGAGGTTTGCCGATCTTTATCTATTTGTTCGTTCCGATCTTTCGTTGGTTGAGGGCTGGGGGATTGTGATGCACTTGTCTCTTTGGGTTGCTGGATAATGCTCTGTTTTGGGGTCACGGGTTTGGTATTCTTTGTATTTGATTCCTTTATTGTGGGATTCTCCAGGAGCTTGAATAACTTAGAAAAATTCAATTTCTTAGTTCGTATATGGCTCTTGGTCTGCCTTCCCACTTTTATGTTTTTAGACTTCTTCTTGTGAAGTGGGAGTATTCTTTGGTGGCGATGCTTCTTTTTAGGTGAGGAGTGTGTGACTCGACTGTTGGTAAACATGGGAGTGGCTCTCTCTGGGACCTTCTCTGAGATACTGGACTCTGTTGGAATTTCAGCCGCTGGAGTGGGGGTGTGAGATGTGATATGGAAACTGAACATAAGATTGGAAGAATGAGAAACTGAAATTGATAGATTCACACATCCCTACTCCAAGATGTAAGAACGTAGCCTAAAGGGATTTTTGGACCACTTATCTAAGTGAGTGATTGATTGATTGATTGATTGATTGATTGAAATTTTCAGTTCTGCTTATAACACAGACTGTTTCTGCCTTACTTGCTTGAACTTCACTTGCAACATAAATCATTTCTCTTTCCTGCTCTCGCAGCCAGGCTTCTTGATTGCCCAGAAGAGTTTTGCAGGTGCATCAGTGCTGTTCAAATGTATTGGGAGCTTAGCGGAGCAGCAACTTGGGGCGAGGGCAAGGTTGCCACAACAATCTTTTTAAAGGCAAAGTAGAGAACGCTGTGCTGTTTTAAAGACTGGCCATGCAATCTCTTCTAATCCACATATCAATACTCTGCTGTGGATCAAGTGGCAGGGGGCTTGCTAATGCTGGTGTTATGCCAGGAGTTACCTTGGCAACAAGTCCCATTCTCCTTTCTGCCAGTCTTCTGATATGAGGTGCAAAAGCCGGTCTCCAACCAAGGCATTTAGCTTGACTGCCTCAAAAGTTCCGCAAGCTGTAGCTTCGCCTTCTTGGTAATCCTGACTTACAAGTGACCTTTCACATCTTTACCTTTGAAAACTGGCATTCTCATAGCAGGTCAGATGTTCCTGCTTCCTTTCTTCATTGCCTATTATAGAGATTTGTGGAGCAGACTTCCTTGAGAAGTGGTGTGAGCTCTCTTTCACTGGCATCCTTTAAGCAGAGTGCAGACGTCAATCTGACAGAGATGTGGTAGTTGTGCCCTGAACTGAAGGTCCTACTCAAGGCATGTGGTTTGGACTGGATGGCCTCCAAGGTCCCTTCCAACTCCATGGGTTGGCACTAACTCAAAGTCATTTATCACTATACTTGTTCTGCTGATGAAATGTGTTGTGCCAACAGAACACTGTTGAGCAAGACAATGTCCTGACTTCCATCCAAGACATGCAGACAGGTGCTCTTACTTGGAAGTAAGATACAGATCTTTATTCAGGGAAGCAATGGGACAGGCTTGGCAGCAAACACAGTGCTTAGGAGTCATGAACCAGAAGCTCAAGAACAGGGCAAGAAGTTCAGAACTGGACAGAAGCAATGAAGAGGTCCCAATAGGTTTCCCTGTCCTTCTCACCATGATTTTCATGATGGGGTGTGTCATGATCACTCAAACTTGTTCAGCCTCCTTCATTGACTGATCAGAACATTACCCAGCCTCCCCTGAGGCATCCTGCTCTGCAGAGAGTTTGGAGAAAAGAACCACCATCCCTACTCTCTCTTCCAAAGCGACTGAATTTGGGGTGGAGAGTTCCCTCCCCCTCCAACCTGCTGAAAAGTGGTACACAAATGCTTACAATAAATAAATAAAAGTATGTGGTATTTAACAATTGAATCAATCAAACAAACAAACAAATAAAAATAAGGAGGCAGTCGCTTTCTGGTTGCTTTTAATGCAACAACTGTGTGTGTGTGTGTGTGTGTGTGTGTGTGTGTGTGTGTTTTTATTGAATGGGTTGCTGTCTCTGAGCAAACACCCCCGAGTCTTGCTATACTGTTTTTTTTAACGTCCATAAAAGATACACACTCTGAATTAATCCTAATGAAGTCAGCTGAGGCTATTAGTGCATCCCTTAATCAACTTCTCTCTGAATGGATGCTAAAGTTGACTTCAGGAAGTCGATCAATGGTAATATGGTTGAATTCTCTCCTGGGTTGTATTACTCCTCCCCCGCCCTTTTCCACACTCCCCTCCCCCATACTGTTGACACCTTTTTGTCTATCTCTTGGTCACTTATTGAATCCCGTTTGCTTTCCTAAGGCTGGGGGGGAGGGTGACTACACCACCACCATTCAGAAATAAAAGTCCTTGTCCATTGCTGTGAGCAATTGCTGTCATTTGACATTAGATGTGTGTTGCTTGTGTTTTCTGTTTTTTTCCTAGAGGGACAAATTTGTTCTGTTTCAGTTCTTAAGATTTTTTTCTTTTTTAAATGTAATTGGCTCCATCAATTTTTAAGAATATGGAGAAGTGGGGAAACAGAAAACCCTCAAGATGGTTGCTCTGAAGCTTCCCAGGCTAATTCGCATGCTAAGTCTTCTAAAACTGGGTAATATTCCTCCCCCCCCCCTTCTCTCTACTTCATTTTTATGATATATATTTTTGCCTTCCCCTCCAGCTTCCATGGCATTTGCTTAGATGTCCTTGTCTCTTTCTAGCAGAGGCTGAAAACCTCTGGAAAAGAACATCATGTACAGAAATGCTGCAATATCTGAAGTTTCGAAATTAGTCACTAAGGAGCTGAGAACAAGGTTTTGAAAATCTGAACAATAGGTGCAAGGCTGCCAGAGATGTCACACTCTACCGCAATGGATAAAAATATCCTCCTCTCAAAAAGAAAATGAAAAGGTTTGGGTTGGATCAAAGATATGGGGTCCCCCCCCCCCCATCTCTTACTTTTTAAGATCAGGTCTGCAACACAGCTTGCTTCCGGCATCTCAGATCTCAAGATCACAAACTTACTGTGTGCTTTGGACACCCCCAAGAAGAAGTCCTGAAGTTAGGTCCAAACTTAGATTTGATGGTGCCAGATTCATCTAAGCCCGCGCTGGACCAAAAAAGGCTGCCCCAGTTTTGGATAAGCCATTCATGGGCCATGAAAATGGCAAAGACATAGGAAGCTGCCTTATAGCTAGCCAGACAATTGCATCCCCTCCAACATCCTACTAATCAAAATCATAATACTTGGGGGGGGGGGTTGGTCCCAAGTTCTTGCAGGAGTCAGCTGACTTGTGCCTGAGTACCAGACCAAAAAACAGGACATTCTGGGATCCAATCAGAAGCCAGGATGGTTTCTGGAATTCCAGGATATTCCTCTCAAGATGAGAGATATTGGCCCTTCCCAGGACATCCCTCTCAACAGAAAGGGCTATTGGCACTTCCTACTTATCACTGGCGGGATGTGGGTGGCACTGTGGGTTAAACCACAGAGCCTAGGACTTGTCGATCAGAAGGTCGGCGGTTCAAATCCCCGCGACAGGGTGAGCTCCCGTTGCTCAGTCCCACCTCCTGCCAACCTAGCAGTTCGAAAGCACATCAAAGTGCAAGTAGATAAATAGGTACCGCTCCGGCGGGAAGGTAAACGGCGTTTCCGTGCGCGGCTCTGGTTCGCCAGAAGCGGCTTAGTCATGCTGGCCACATGACCCGGAAGCTGTACGCCGGCTCCCTCGGCCAGTAAAGCGAGATGAGCGCCGCAACCCCAGAGTTGGCCACGACTGGACCTAATGGTCAGGGGTCCCTTTACCTTTACTTATCACTGGCAGCAGTTGCAGTTCCAATTGCAGTTCCCAGCTCCACCTGGAGAGGCCAATGACCCAAACTGGGATCTTCAGCAGCACAGTGGTGGAGGAACCCTCTCCGGCACCCGGGACAGGATGCTGAGGGGCAGGGCAAACCTCCCAGTGGCGCACGCGCAACATCCGTACAGACTGTGCAGGTGTGGCATCCCGTGTACAAGAGCGGCAGCCTGTACAGTCGCCATGTGAGAGGCAGCCCGTATGGACACCCATATGGACAGTGCGCAGGACTGACTGTGCGCACCCTCGGCCGCTCTACAGCTAGGGGGATGCAGGGGTCAGCTTGTCACCATCACCCCCCAGAGTGGCACCCAGGGCGGCCCACCCCCTCTACCCCCCACTTCGTACACCCCTGCAGCAGCATGCACTTCAGCCCTTTCCTGCAATAGAAAGCTGCCTCACACCAAGTCAGACCATGCGTTCATCTACCTCAGTATTGTCCATAATGACCGGCAATAGCTCTCCAGGGTTTCAGACGGCAGACACACCCAGTTCTGTCCAGAGGTGCCAGAGACTATAACCTAGGACTGTAACCTGCATGTAAGACAGATGCTGTACCTTTACCCCACTTTGACTGATTTGTGGAGTAGGGCTGAATTTTGGGGGGCATTGTGATGTTGTGGGGTATTCTGAAGGAACAAAAAGTGGTTCAGGCAGCTGGCTGAAGCCAAAGGAGGTGACAGTGAGTTATATCCCCTACTCTTAAGATTCTCTCACCTGGTATGTGAAAGCAGAGTTTTAACCCTTCTGATGCTCAAGTCTTTTACTCTCTCCCCCCCCCCCAATAATTCAGTTGAAAGTTTTCATCTGAGAAGCCTATATCTGCTCCAGTCACATATTTTCCATCATTGCTCATGTACTGTAGAATTCTCTTCCCTCTGCCACAGATAAAAGAGCATGAAATGTCTTGTGGAGTCAGATCGTTTGGCCCAGGCTTCCCGTGACCAGTGGATTGGATGCTGTTATTATTGAATTTCTCCTTTTATCTGCTTTTAAAATCTGAATTACCTGCCCAAGAGCAAACTGGCCTCTCGACTCTCCCCACTCTTTCCCCTTTGGTTAGAATAAACCCTGCTGCAAGCCTGTATTAAGCACCCTACCTGTAAGTTGCATATACCCATTCAATATACCTGATAGTTACTGAAACCTGAATGGAGCCTGAATTAGACTACAGAAAAGCATGGGAACAACCTCTGCTTGGAAAGACTGGAGAGCTTCAGGCAGCCTAGACAGGGCTAGAGATAGACCGTTGCTCTTGCTATAGAAGGCAAATCCTATTGTTCATTATATCCATTCCTGTCTCTTGCACCAAGAGTGCTTTGTGTCATTTACACGGCCCATTGCTGCCAAG